TCAATTTTGTTATTAGAAAAAAAATTTTGAGCCATCGTTTACTATCAAATTGGTCACATGATTCCCCCTACCCTTAAGCCATGCTTTTTAAATAATTGGTATTAGCTGAGATGATACCTCACAACATCACCATTTAACAAGAATTAGAAAATTGTAAAAATTTTATTGCTTCAAAATTTAGAAATGAAATAAAAATAAAAAAAAGATAATGAATAAATTTATAGTGGAGATTAAATTAGTCATTTATCAATTCTTTCATTTACAATTATTATAGAAATTAATCAATTAATATTGTTAATAATAATTAATGGATATTAATACAATGAAATTTCATTCATCTTTGTTAGAAAAGGGCTAAAATCAAGATTATTCAACGAACTATCATTACTTGTACAAAGTTTTAAGCTTTTAGATTTAGCAATCTCTTCATCTAATATTCTACTTTTATGATATGCATCCGGATGTGATTTGTGTACTTGTTGCAAACCACTGATATTATTATTATTATTAATAATTTCTTTGCATTTACTTATAGCAAATTTATAAAGCTCTAGAATAGCTGGTCTTTTAAGCGGATCCACATCCCAACACCTCTCCATCATTTGTGCATAATCATCAGGCATTACAGGTAGTATTGGTGGCCGTAAATCTTTTCCACATATATCAAAAATTAAACGATGATTGTGAGCTCTGTTATCAAATGGTGGATGTCCTGCAAATATTTCCCACATTAACATCCCAACACTATAGATATCAGTTTCTTTGGTGTACTTTGTATTAATTTTGCCACTAAGTAATTCGGGTGCAACATATGATACAATTCCATAAATTTTTTTTGATAATTTTTCATCAACTGGTCCACATAATCCAAAATCTGTGATATAACAGCAGCCTCCTTCCACAAGTATATTACCACTATGTAAATCACAATGGATTAAGTTTTTTCTATGTATCCAATATAATGCACCACACAAATATGTAAATATTACAATTCTGTCTTTTAATGTCAAATTTGAATGATTTTTTTGCAAATAATTCCTTAAACTTCCATCTGAAGCATAAGCCAAAACCATCACATAATTTCCATTATCTGGGAATTTAGTTATACCAAAGCAAGTAGCCATCAGTGTTGCTTTAATTTTACAATAGTTTACTGCCTGGAATAAATATAAAACAGGTTATTATTATATAATACAGTATTGTTTTAAATGACAACTACCAACCTCATCAAAAAAGGCTTCTCCTGGATTACTTGAATCATTTAAATTTTTTAATATTACTAGTTGCCCTCCATAATAATTAAATTCCTTTTTATTTTCATCATAATCAACAATAGCTCCTCTTGTCCATGTAGCAGTATAAATTGAACTAAATCCACCTTCAGTCAATTTTGTTATTTTTTTAAATTGCTCAAAAGGTATCCATTCTAAAATATAGTCTGGCAGAGATGATTCAATTTGACATTGTTGAATAAAATTATCAATTATGTTATTTCCAGACGTCCAAGTAGTGAAAAGTCTCTGTAAATGTAAACTAATACAACTTTCACAGAACCAATCAGAGTATTTTGCCAATTTACACTTGTTACATTCTTTTTGGCTTTCCAAATTTATTTATTGCATTTCTTAATTCAATCTCATAAATTAATCTTCCTTTACAACATTCTTTTTCATCCTCAGAAAGCTTCTTGTTATTTTGGACTAATGAAAAAAAATAATCCTTTCTATTTTCTTCATCGGAATTAACCAGTGCATAATTACGCATTTCACCAATAATTTTAAGTACATCTCTTTCTGGTGATAATAAATTATTATATGTCATTATGTAAAACTATAAAATATAGAGATTGACTTTGTGATTTAATAGTAATAGAATGGAAAAAACGAGGCATTATTTAACATAGTTGTATACGTATTTTTTTGGAAATTTATTACTATTATTGAAAATTCAATGTCCGCAATGTCCAAGGTGTAACGTTATATTTTGAATTTCAAATAAATTTGTACTAGTTACACAACGAATTTCATTCTTGTTTTTTACTTTACTAATGCTCTATATAGTGCTTTCAATTTCTGGTCCGTTTAATAAAATCATTAAATGATCATTTAATGGTATCTACATTCATTTGATTTTTCAAATTATTTTTAATTATTAAAAAGAAAATCCTTATCAGTATCTAAAATGTGTTTTCACAATTGAATGAAATTCATTTCTCTATTATTATTTTTACTGAATTCCATTTTGTTTAAGTTTTTCATTGTCAATGATTCACTAAATTCATTTCCATTTACAAATTGTTTCTCCATAGAAATTACCTGAAAATTCAATTTCTTGATTTTCACATGAAAGTAATTCTTTATCATCATCATCTGGAAGTTCTTTTGGATTAAAAATACTAATTTTACATATCACGGAAAATTAATACAGTAAATAAAAGTTGCACGAAAATAAAATCGGGAAACTGATCAAGAATTTAAACCAGTCCAATTTCATATTGTTATTTAATCACCAATAAAATAATTGACTCACGAAAACTATCTCTGACAACCGAAAAACAAGTATTCTAATGTAACATACCTTTAATTCTCAGATTAAATTCAAACAAAAGAATTTAAATTATTGGATCACTTTAGAAATAACTTGAAAATAATTCTACACAGAAAGTTCAAGTAATACATTTAATTAGGATAAATTAGGAATAATAAATAATATTGTCCTTATCTTTGTCCTTGTTATTGACTTGAATATTGTATTTTCATAATGATAATAAATCTATCCCTAACAATGAATCCATACCAAATCCCATGCATAATCATTTTTTCTCTTATTTTATATTTGTCCATTTTTTTTATTTCTTTTCTTTTCTTTTAGTGAGGTGATATTTAATGAATTTTATTTAATAGTTTTGGGAACACACCTGATTTGAGTATGGAATAACAGCTAAGGAAAGCAACCACTAAGAAACGTGATCAGTAGTGTAAAATCTAAAAAAGATATTGTTTAGTACAAGGAATTGTTTAATGATAGTGAAAGATAGTTTTGAGAGTAAAAACATAAATATACATGCTAGAAATTGTTGTTACGATTTAGTATAAATAAATTAGAAGAAATTGTATTAACGTTGTTATGAATAAAAGATTGAGATTTACTGAGGCGCGAATTTCGATCTCACATTATATAATTCAGATTCTAGAAATCTGTTTTTAATTGCAATTGAATATTTCTAACAAATGGTAGAATGGGAATTATAATTATTATCCAAATATTTTTTGAATATTGTACCATAATTTGGTGGAATCCCTTCAGAGCCTATAAATTCAGTTTCAATTGTTTTAATCATAATGTCAAGCTGTAATTTAAAATGAGATATTGATAAATGTTCTAACTGAAATGTATTGATTAATTTCTTTAAAATATTTGTTAAATCAGCAAGATACACTGTTGTTGAAATAAAAGCATCATATATTTGATCAAATAAATTTGTTGCTATATCTCCTTCAATATTTTTATTTAGAGCAGATAGCGCAGAGTTCATGATTTTATGTAAACAAGCTTACAACTAAGAACGCAGTGTGAGCTTCTGCTACACAAGAACAAAAATTCATTTATTTTAAGTTGGGTTTGGATTGCATATTCTTGTCGCAAAAAAGCAAAAAAAAGACATCATCAGTCGTTGGCAGGTTTGATCGTAAAAATTCAAAAAAACATACAATCCGCAAAGTGATATAACTACTTCATTATCTGCAAAAAGTTAGAGGATATTAGTCTTACACAATATGACCATTTTTGAAGTTGGATATACTTTACAATAAACATGTAATCCATACAATTTTAACAAACCCAAATTCATCACCACCACGCTTCCTCACAACCCTATTAAAGACAATTTTAACATCTTGGTGCTTTGATTTTAACATTAAAAAGGCGCGAATGATTGTATGAAAACTCGAGATTGGTTGGTTTCATTGATTAGATTATGTCTATTTTCGGTTGGTATTATGATTTTGCACATCACATTTTGAAATACTCATTTTTGAGTGTATGTGATGGAAGAAACTATGCATTAGAGTTGCGAGGAAGATTTCCCGATACTATGGCTCGGACAAATTATAATCTGAAAGGTCATTGTCTATTTCAAATGATTATTTCACACTAAGAAAAGATCTTGAATATAAGATATAAGAAAGTAGGGAAATCACATTTATCAAAATGGTTCTTACACGAGGTTCAAATAGTCCTGTATAAATTTCGTAATATTGTTAATTCATGTTTTCAGATAGATCCCATCCTATACCAATATGACAAAAAATCTCATTCAATTACGTACATACACCGTTTCTTTCATTCTTTTGTGCTTATTCTGCAGTCCTCGATTATTGTTTCACTCAAAACCAGGTTGAGCTTTTTGTAATATTTTTCAGTTGTTTGAACTTGATGTGTTGGGGCTATATATTGAAAAATGCAAATGGGGTTGGATCGAGACTAATGATGCATGACGAAATTTTTGACTTCAGTCATTGATGTGACGAAAGCACTGATCAACAGAATTATGACTTGGTTGCAGAACTATCCTTACCGTAAAGGTAGGATCATTGCAGGAAACTTTTCAGCTAACATGGCAGCCTTTTCTGATCTGGGTGCTGTAAAGATTAGTGAAAAGTGTCCTTGATGATTGATGCAGTCTTGATGCATTCCAGGGCCATACCACCTCCCTGTAATTCCATTGCATCATTGTATCCTTGGGAGCCGCAGGTTGGTATACGTGAGAAATGTAAGGTGGTGACTGTAGTGTGTTCAAGGTATCATGCGTGCTTCAACGCCTGTCAATTTCCAATAATTAAACATTGTCTATTTGAATTGTTTCTTCTGCAACAGTCATTATGCTGTCTTGTAATTAATTATTTATAATAATATTATACCAATCATTTACCATCTTGATAAGAATCTTATAATTATCCAGCAAGGTCTGCTCTGTGTTTTGAAAATAAATATATTATCAATACAAATAAAAAATAGTATATCTGTTCATTAACACGTCTTCTTTAGGAGATTCATGTTTTGTCATTTTTGAAAATAAATTGTTTTTCCAAAAAAAAAAAAAAAAAATCAATTCACAATAAGTTTCCATACATAAATAATTAACGTGTATGCGAAAAGAAAAAAGAAGAAAAGATAATGATGCTGCGTTTCTGGCTAAGTGTTTATCATAAAAATGGTGGTGGTGGTTATTGCCACTAGTTGTCATTCTAGTTTGTAATATATGAAGATACATCAATTATGAAAAAGTATTATTACTATAGTAACAAGTAGCAAACAACGATGAATCATAATTTTTTGAGGAGGATAAAAAAATTTTTGTTTCATGAAAATATTAAACTTTTTAA